TTTATATAACTGGGCCTTTATGGAACCAAGACCATCTTGTTAGAAGGTAGAGAATCCTCTGACGAGTAAACAAGTTGTGGTGAACTACTACAGTCCTGCTAAATACTGAGAAAGAAATCAAGGCTGACAAGTGAAGCTCTATTTGTGGAGAACTTAGAAATATACATTTGGCTTTTACTACTAAGATACCTAGGAGGTTGACTCTAATCTTAGGTAAATGGCAAAGAATTAAGATATGAGAATCCCAAATAACATGCCTGTTGTACAGTCTTATAAAGCTAGTTGTCACAGAAATGTGAACTATAGGATGGGATGGTGAACTATGGCAGTAAGCTAGATAGGGAAGGATATGTACTTTGTAATATATGCATTTTTATTTTTGAGTATTACATTTTTATTTATGTATTTTCTCAGCTTGTCATAACACAGGTTGATTAACCCTAATCTGAAAATCCAAAACTCTTTGAACACAAACATGCCATGACACTCAAAGGAAACGCTCAGTGAAGCATTTTGACTTTCGGATTTTCAAATAAGGGCTACTCAATCTGCAAGTACAGATAAGTAAGAAAAGGTTAATTTAAAGGGGGAAACTAAATGTTCTAAGAGCCAGAAATCATGGAAGTGATAGTACTTGAAAGAGACAGTGAAAATCAACAAGCCCTTGATTCAGTGGCCTCACTGCATCTAAAACACACTTTTCAGAGCAAAAATATTGGAAAACTGTGTTTCAACATGGGAGGCAATTTTCCCAACCCATTAATTGGTCATTTTAGCTGAACTTGTAAGCTTTATTATGTATTTAGTTGTCCCTTTAATTAAAATTAATATTAAATATTGGTTCTAGCAATAATCCTTAAACTACCCTTTTTCACTTCCATTTTCAAAGATATGTCCACTTTTCTTCCCCTTGTTTATGGTGTAGATATGTTTCTTATATTAAACAAAAATTTTCCTATCATATTCTTGAATGATTTTAAAAATTAATCTTTCAAATAAACTTTGCCAAAGATTGAAAATATTAACCTCAAAAATATAATACATTGAATATACATGATATCTTCTTATAGAAATATATAACTACTGTATCAGTAGTGTAAGATGGTGGGTTTAGAACAGATATGATGTTTACTGGTCTATAATGCTAATGTTCTTTCTAGAAGTCCTGATAAATGGAATTCTCATTATTAATCCACCATTCTGATGAAAGAGTAGTTGTTTATAATGTCAGGATATACATTTTAAACTAACACATATCTCTTCCTCTACTTCCCCAATAACTCAGCCATGTTCAATTTTCTTTTTTTGTTTTGTTTTTGTACTTACATTTCTGAAAGTAGGAATAATATGCTCTGTCTCATTTTTTAAAAAAAATTATTTTTATAAATGTAGGGGTACAAATGCAGTTGTGTTACATAGATATATTGCACAGTGGTAAAGTCTGAGCTCTTAGTGTACCCATCACTTAAATAGTGTACACTGTACCCAATAAGTAGTATTTTATCCCTCACTCTTTTCCTGCCCTCAATGTCTATTATTCCACTCTGTATGTCCATGTATATCCATTGTGTAGCTCCTACTTATAAGTGAGAACATGCATTTTTTTGACCTTCTGAGTCATTTCACTTTGGATAATGGCTTTCAGTTCCATCCATGTTGCTGCAAAAGACATGACTTCATTCTTTTTATGACTGAGTAGTATGGAATACATGTATATGCACACATGCACACACACACACACATACACTCTCTCTCTCTCTCTCAATATATACCAATAACAAAAGATAAATGCAAGGTCATGTTTGTCTTCTGCAATTACAGGAGGTGCTCCAAGGGTTGCCATCAGCATCCAGACACTACTGATTATGGCCAACTGCTGCAGGATGGTTGCTGTATGAGGCCTCCCGGATTTTCGCTTGTGCACATCACACACAGTGCCATGTGTCTCAAACTTACTATGAATGCACGCAATTATCAGGCATGTTGGAGGTTCTGTTGCATACTCACACCTCCAGTGTCAATGTATTTCCACAACGTTCTTGAATTTCAAGTACCACCTCAAAATGGTCTTGTACTCATCGCACAGCAGTCGTGCTACCATCATTTTATGCCATCTTTTGAATGAATGTCATACTACACGTTGTTACCATAATTCAATTCAACTTTGAAAAGTAATACTAGATAACATTTCTTAAAATGTGTATGCATTTTTGGCACCCCCAATATATAGATCTAGATCTGGATAGACATATATCTATATCTATATCTCTCTCTGTTTATCTATATATCTCTCTGATTGATTTTAATTCAATAATCCATTGATGGACACTTAAGTTGATTCCACGACTTTGGTATTATGAATAGTGCTGTCATAAACTATGAGTGAAGGTGTCTTTTTGACAGAAGGATTTATTTTCCTTTGGGTAAATACTCAGCAGGTCAAGTTTCCTTTTTTTAAAAAAAATCTGAAAAACAATTTTTCTTTTAAATTTTGGTAATGTGGTTGTTAAAACTACACTAAAGAAAATCAAACGGCCCTTTCAAATATACCCTTTACTTATTACAGAGTATTCTACATAACTAAAATGTCTTTGTTTTCTTAGACTACCAGATTTGTGTTCTACTAGTGACTTATAAATGGAATCATATTCTTCCAGTGTATGAGGTCTTTTCTAAAATACTGAAGTTTTCACAGATGTACCACACCGGGGCTGGGGACAGGGACAAATTGTCTTCCCTCATTAGTATGTCCCTTCTTTTTAATTGTGATAAGTACATATAACATAAAATTTGCCATTTTAATTATTTAAATATATACATTTGGTCTTCACTTTTTATATGATTTCTAAGAAGAAACAAAGAACGGCAGATCTATATTAAATGCAGCAAAAAACAATGCCTATCTATTTTATGGAACTGTGAGTAATGACTCAACATTCAGGGAGGAATTATTAGTAATCTAACTCTGAGTATCTTTTTATTTACTGAAATCTGATCCTACTAGGAGGCATTAAAAGTGTACGGGTAAATAGCAACCAGTTTGCTAAATTGTGTGAATTCCTAAAGCAATCAGTAATCTGTGTGTTAGAATTCTTTGATATGAGACATTCATAAAATTGGCACAAAAGATAGAGACATGTAAAATACTCTTTTCCAATCCAACTTGCTTCATGGACTTCACTGGAAATGCATGGGTAATTTTTAAAAATTTGCTTATTTTCATGTCATATGATTATATTTTTATAAATTCCCTAATGTATATTGAAAAAAGTCAGTCTTTTGAAGAACATATAGCTCTAGAGCCCTTTAAAAATATTGAATAGCCGGGCTCGGTGGCTCAGCCTGTAATCCCGCACCTTTGGAAGGCTGAGGTGAGTGGATTGCCTGAGCCTGTGGGTTCGAGACCCACCTGGGCAGCAAGACCTCATCTCTACAATAAATCAAAAAATCAAGCCGGGCTCGGTGGCTCAGCCTGTAATCCTGTGCATTTTTAAGGCTGAGGCGAGTGGATTGCCTGAGCCCGTGGGTTCGAGATCCGCCTGGGCAGCGAGACCTCATCTCTACAATAAATAAAAAAATCAGCCGGGTGTGATAGCGCATGCTTGTAATTCTGGCTACTCGGAAGGCTGAGGTGGAAGGATTGCCAGGAGCCCAGCAGGTAGAGGCTGCGGTGGCCGGGAGCGGCCACTGCACTCCGGTCTGGGCGACAGAGTGAGACTCCAACTCAAAAAATAAATAAATAAAAAATAAAAATAAAAATATTGAATAAACAGAAATCATGGGTAGTAAAGGATGATCAGGTTAGAAAATTTCAGTTTAAAAAGATAAAAGCTTTATCATATTTAAGTAATTTTTTTAAAATAAAGAAGACTGAGAGAATAATGTAATAATTATGGTACATGATCTGTGGCAGAATGGAAAGAACATTAACTTGAAAGACTTAAACTGTTCTTCTTTACCTCTTAATAAACAGCATACAGAACCTTCTGTTTAACTCATGACAAAAATAAAAGCTACATATTTCTTATACATAAACAATTTGTTCACCTGAGTTCTTATAAAAGATTTATTCTAAGTACAAATATGATTAGGGAAATGTAGAAACAAAAAACAAAGAATACATATCTTTTTTTTTTTTTTTTTTTTTGAGTTGGAGTCTCACTCTGTCGCCCAGACTGGAGTGCAGTGGCCGCTCCCGGCCACCGCAGCCTCGACCTGCTGGGCTCCGGCGATCCTTCCGCCTCAGCCTTCCAAGTAGCTGGAACTACAGGCGCACGCTACCACACTTGGCTAATTTTTTTGATTTATTGTAGAGATGAGGTCTCACCAAGTTGCCCAGGCGGGTCTCGAACCTGTGGGCTCAGGCAATCCACTCACCTCAGCCTCCCAAACGAGTGGGATTACAGGCTGAGTCACCGAGCCTGGCAGAATACATATCTTAAGGAGAATTTATCAAGCTGCTTTCTTTGTTTGAGGGTGACATGCTTTGTGGTTACAGTACATGTTTCCAATGAACACTGGACCAAAATTAAAATTCTAGGCAGACATTCAAGTTCTATGATTATGTTTGTTCTTCACTGAGCATGGGAAATGACTGCTTTACAAGTTATTTATGAACAATATTTCCGCAGTACTCTCACAAAGTTCACTTCTGAAAGAGGCCCTATCACTGTAACGTATCTGACTAAATGAAAGTTATACAAGGACTCCCCCGTCATACTTTAGAAATTTCAGCACATTAATAAAATCATTTTTAAAAGAGACTTTTCTGAGTTTAGTCCATAGCAATTTTGCAGAGGTGCAGAATAAATAAGAAGAACAGAGATGAAATAAATTTCAAAATTAAAGAGTATCAATCCAAAATTATTTGTGACATATATGGAATAAAGTTAAACAAAGAATAATTAGCAGAAAATATTTAGTTTAACTATAGTTTTCCTATTGTTAATATAATGTTGGCACAAATGCAGTAAGCCTCATCCTAAATCAGGTATAGTTACCTCTGTGGTTTTGTTTGATGGTTCCAGTCCAGTCATATTTGCTACTATTAACTGATGTAAGAGTTGAACTTGAGCCACACTTAGGAAGAAGTCCAGGTTTGTAGTTATATTCACTTCCAAGGAATGGCCACACACTAAAGTCTCCTGAAGGAAAAAAAGGTTGAAACAGATAAAGAAATATGATAGTCTTTGAATGATAATTTATCACTCTTACTTATTTGACCTTTACTCCTTTGATGGAATCTTCTTGGACTCAAGTTTATACACTAATGAGAACAGCAAAAATGGTGAGCACAACCACTTGACACAGTTTAATGGATACATTTAATAAATATTTATGAGGGCCTGCGATATGTCAGACCTCGTGCTAGACACAGGGCAATTAACAATAAGAATTTTTCACTTATTCATATCAATTTGACTATTTCACACCTCAAACCATTATCATTGTTCCAATATGTAAGCAATGATGTAATTCTGGAGCATAACTTTGCTAATTAATTCAAGCTAACAAATATTTACTAAGCATCTCCTAAGTACCAGGCACTACAGTAGAGTACTAGAAATATCATAAAGAATAAGGCTGGCCTTGTAAAAGGTAATCTGCTCTTGAGGAGGCTACGATCTGGTGTGGCAGACAGATGTAAACAGGCAATTGTAGACAGGCAATTACAATCACCAAGTGCTCCAAAGGATACACTCCAAATGATTTATAACAAAAGAGTGCTGAAGCCAAAGATAGCTAGACTAATTAATTTCACTTTGTCTTCAAATTGCTAAAACCTTTGCAGCATTTGGTAGATGTCTACTACTTAACTGGTGCTGTTCTGCAAAACTGAGTCACTTAAGTATTTATCACTGAAAAACCATTAAGAGAAGGAAAACAAAACAAAACAAGAAGCCAATCCAGAAGCTTCGTTTCATAAGTAGAAATCCTGCCTCTTGTAATAAAGTGCATGTGGACAACATTCAAATGCTTGAAAATGTCCAACAGACATTCTTATTAGTGCCATTTAGAGGAACAGATTTAAGGAGAGTAAGACTAGCCCAAATACAAACTAGACAGCTCAGAGCAGTGTTTAATAAAGCCATAAAGAACAGCATGTTTAAAATGATTACTCTTTTTCTGGTTAAATCACTTTTTCCTGCAAGCTCCCAGTGTTCACTCAATATTGTTAGAATTCTTATTTTATTCCTTAAGTAATGATGGAAGGGAAAAAAGTACACTGATTCAGGATTTAAAAAAAATAAATTATCACATAACCATTATCCAAAGGGATAAATATGTGTACAAAAAAGCTTAGTTTGATTAGTGGCATACTTCCTGTGAAAACTTGTAAATGACTGATCCTGTGCCAGTAGGTTAAATAGTATAAATTCAATTGATAGAATTAGCAGCTAATATTATAAAAATAAGAATAACTTCCATTTTGTAAAAGTTTAGCTTTTCAGATTCCTCTTAGAATTATTATTTCTATTGATCAGTTTGAACCTTAAATGAATCTATAGGGCACCAAGGTAGCTACGTATGAGGCAACTAAGGTATGCATAAGAAACTTGATAGAACAAAGAGTTTAAGTGAATGGCTTAAGATGATATACTTTAGTTCAAAGCTGGGCTTAGCCTAGAACTAGGTTTTCTGATATTCAGCTTCATTCCTCTTTCACCTGGGAATGGGGAACTTTCTACTAATGCTTCAAATTTGAAGATTAGTTAATTATGACAGGATTGCATTTTATTAACTTTGATATGTTCTTACTTTTATCTCTGAATTCAATGATAAGTATCTGGGAATCCAAATAAAGAGCATTCTCAGGGAAAAAAACTTAATAATTCAGAATGATTTTGATATTCCATTTTTGTTAGCTAAATACATCCAGGAAGCAAATTCTAAAATTCTAAAATGTGATTCTGCCGTGTGACTCTTAATTTGTATTTTCAGAGTACTAATAGTATGAAAAAAAGGGCATCTCATAAGGTGTTTCACATATTCTAAACCAACCGTGTTACTAAGTAACTATAAGACATTGGTCGATTTACTTAATCTTTATATACCTTTGTGAATATACAAGAAACCTGGCCTAACCAAACTTTTTTTCATAGGCTATTATAAATATCAAATTGGATAATATATGAAAAAATATTATTTAAAAAAATTCACAGAATATTAGGTTTTATTGGTTTGGATGAATATACACCTACACCTAAATTTCCAAATTTCTCATAACAACTGGCTATATTTCTGTGAATGAGCAAAAAGTTTATAATGTGCTTAGCATAAAATATTTCTATGAAGAATTTAAGCTACAGTTAATCACATTATTACTACATTTCTATCCTAGGTATTGGAGGCAGCACACCTAGTGATCACAATTGCAGCCCTGGTTCCCCCAATTAACAATGGTCAAGTTAATCTCTTTGACCTCAGTTTCCTCTGTTTAAAATATGGATACATCAGCATCTATCTCATAAAAATGTTATGAACACTAAATAAGGTAACCCATGTAGAATTTACTATGTAACATAATCTATATGAGAACTCTATATTATCTGTCAGTGCTATTGTTGTTTTCATTAGAAAGAGGTTGTAGAAGTTAGAAAGTAGAGGCTAGAGCCAGACAAGTTGATTTCATACCCTACTCTGCTACTAACTACTTATGAAAATTTGGGCAAATTGGTTAGTCTCTCTACGCCTCAGCTTCCACATCTATAAAATGGATACAGTAGGAGTAGCAAGCAGGATTATTGTGAGCATTAAATGAGTTATTACAAAGAAAGTGATAACTGAACAGTAGTACAGGAGGTGCTCAAGAAATATTATCTATGACAGTAACTGTTATTATTAATGAGTTAATTTGATGTCCTATGGGCTGAATCTATAAAAATTCCTTAATGCAACAAGGAATAATCCCATTATTGAGACTGAAATAAAATCTGAATTATGTTCTTACCTCAGTATGCAAATTTTCTGGAGAAATTATTCTGGTAAAAATAATGGCAGGAGCTCCAGTTATTCGGACAGAAAAATCTGTCAAAACGGGGGTCAAAATTGCTCTCCTTTCTTGATGCCGTCGTATGCTAAAAACAATCGAGTAAAAGATTATTAATCATTTCATTTTTTCAAGAAAAATTTTCATTAAATTTGTACAAGTCTTTGTACTACAGACATGTATGACAAAATTACATTATTATTTTGAGATGGCCTATTTGTGTATTTTATAGTCACAGTTTCTTAATTTCAGTTACACAAGATTTATAAGTAGTAAGGAAAAAATATCAAAAAATTAAGCAATTTCATATCATTCCAAGACCTTTCAACAAATTACTTTGTTTTTAAATCTTTTTGTTCTTCTGAATAGTTGCATATCTCTTATATTACCACCAATGATCTTATTAATTTGAGGGTGATTTTTAAATTCTTATTTTTAATATTTCTTGTACTTGACAACTGCCAACTTTCCAATCTCATTAGGGTCATAAGCATATTCTCTTAATCTAAACCTTTTTTTTAAGCTCTAAGAACCACATAAATAATCCATGTGAATTCATGGATTATTACTGCCTTTCCAGTCTATTAAGCTTTTGTGCCTAATATTGAATGCTTTCGCAAAACAATCCTTGACGTGATGTAGAGACCATTACTAGTCCCACATTACCTATAAGGAATTGAAACTCAAAGACAAACTAAGGCCACCCAGTGGAAATAAAGGTTCTAGAATTGGACCTGGAAGTCATGTTGATATCAGAACATTTTGGCCTCTATTTTAGTTCTTTATACATTCTTATCCTTGGACCAGTAATTTAGCCCAATATTTTTACTTGACATTCAAAATTACCAATAATTTTGAAGAAAATATTGCATACATGGTAAAAGATACAACTGGAGAACATTAGTGAGAAACCAAAGATTGTGCTGGTACAGATCTTCAGGCCCACCATCTATATTCTCAGTTTTAATTTTTTATAAAATTATATACTTTTATGTTTTATCAGCAAGTCATACCTCAAATTTTCCTTCAAACCATAGATTTAACATTACTTAAGAATATGTCCTTATTATTCCCTTATACCATAAAATGATGAAGTTGAAATCAGAACTGGCATACATTATCTCATAAAAAGCCTAGCTAAAATTAAGTCTTTCTATGTCCTGTTTTCTCAGAGTAGTCTAGAGAGTACTAATACCTTTTGTTAAACCTGCAATGGGCAGAGCTTTATATGGTGTCTGCCAAAAAAGCAAATTGGATCATCTGGTTCTGTGACACAATAGTATTGAATTTCAAGAAAGTCATTTTTAAAGAATTAGGAGATCTGGTAAGTAGAGAGTAACAGGAACAAGTATTAAAATTTGTGAATATAGAGGAAGGATTGGGATCCTGAGAGACACCATAATTATGGTCTAATAGCTCAAATTCCATAAAATGACCAAACTGAGAAACATGTAACATCTGATGTGCTCTCATAGGGGAGTGCTAAAATGCATGATGTATTAAAAATAGCTTAAAATGGAAAAGTTGGCAGGAAATCAAATAAGAGTAAATTTAACTAAAGTTAATGGAAAAAAAATATTTGGCCATATCATACATTTTTCTCCATTATGTGAGGAATTAAATCAGTAACACAAAATATAAAAGACCTATTATCTCAGAAGTAAAAAGAAAAATTTAAAAAGTCAATAGCTCTATAAAACTCTAATTTGGTATACAGAACTAACTTTTATGATATTTCTGGTAAATATGAGGTAACATTTTTTAAAAAATCACTAAAAATCTTTATAGATTCAAGTATTTTTAAGGGTGAATTCAAAAGAAATGAAGAAAAGAAACACTGAAGAAATAACTACAATCAAGAATTAAATTCTTGATTTAATTTTTTACTAGCTATATTTTACTAGCTAAAAGTCCATGGCTTAAAATTAAAAAGAGTGCTGAGCATAGGGCTCATATTTGTAATATTAGAGCTTTGGGAAACTGAGGCTGGAGGATCACTTGAGGCTAAGACTTCAACATCAGTGTAGGAAATATAGTGAGACCCCATCTCTACAAAAAAAAAAAAAAAAAAGCCGGTGTGTTGTGGTGTGTGCCAGTAGTCCTAGTCACTTAAGAGGCTGAAGTGTGTAAAAAAGACGGTGTGTGGCAGTGTGTGCTGGTAGAGATGGGCCCTCATTTTCCTACACTGATCTTGAAGTCTTGGCCTCAAGTGATACTCCAGTTTCCCAAAGCTCTAATATTACAAATTTGAGCCACTATGCTCAGTTCTAGAGGACTGGATAACAAAAATGTGTTACATATACACGATGGAATATTACCCAGCCATGAAGAACAAAATCATGACCTTTGCAGCAACCTGGATGGAATTAGAGTCTATAATACTGAGTCATCTTTCACAGAAACAAAGAACTGAGTATCACATGTTCTCACTCGTAAGTGGACCTTGAACAACTATCACAATACTATAAGAAAAGGATTGACAGTAATGGGAAACTGTGGAGAGGACGTGGGTGGGGAGGTGGGATTGACAGTAGTGGAAATCTGCCTGGGGAAGCAGGGGGCACACCTCATCAACAAGGATACCTGCACAGTGATTATTTGTATACCTAACCCTGAAATGCTCCCCACAATTTTAAAATAAAAAAAAATTTAAACGTTTAAAAAAAAAAGAGAGCCAGGCTCGGTGACTGTAATCCTGTAATCCTGCGCCTTGGGAGGCTGAGGTGAGTGGACTGCCTGAGCCCGCGGGTTCGAGACCCGCCTGGGCAACTTGGCGAGACCTCATCTCTACAATAAATCAAAAAATTAGCTGTGCGTGGTAGCACACGCCTATAGTTCCAGCTACTTGGAAGGCTGAGGCGGAAGGATCGCCAGAGCCCAGCAGGTCGAGGCTGCGGTGACCGGGAGCAGCCACTGCACTTCGGTCTGGGCGACAGAGTGAGCCTCCAACTCAAAAAAGAAACAAACAAACAAACAAACAAACAAAAAAAGAGGCTGAAGTGGAGGATTTGCTTGATCCCTGGAGATTGAGGCTGTAATAAACCAAGATCACACTGCATTCTAGCCTAGGCAACAGCAAGAACCTGTCTCTAAAAAATTAATTAAAAAAATAAAAAGGGAACTAAAAATCAAAGTATTGACAAGTTGCTAGAGACCTTAGGGATTTAGTACTCTCAATAAATTAAGAGAATATATTTTTAGTGGGATATTGAGACAAGGCAAGGATCTTCAAATTAGCTGTGTACCTAGATCTGGGGCTCTTGAAAAACATCAGCCCATCAGAAAAGGGAAGTACAAGAAAGTTTGTTTTTGTAGGAGAGCTTATTGAAAAAACAGAGATCTCCCTAGAAAATTAAAAATAAAGGGAAATCCCCCTGTGTATTAGATGGCTCTAATTTATATTACCTATGTGGTCTAGGAATAATCATTCTGAGTTATTTGCAAAAAAAGTGCAAAAACTTTGGTAACCCTGGGGCATCTGTCAGAAACATGCAAATCCTCTCTAGAAAGCAAGTTTTCAATAAAAAAAGATTCCCAAGGACAAAGACCACTAAAGACAAACCCATCATTATAGGTTATTTTATATATAAAAAAAATTCTTCACTAGTAAAAAGAGCATTAAATCTCATTTTCAAATGTATTATCAAGAACTTCTGATAATGGAATTACCACATATAAACAATAGAAAAGTGTTTAAAAGTATTAAAGACATATAAGATGGAATTTAAAAATATGAGGAAAAAAAGCAAGGTACTATCAAAAAAGCAAAACTATCAAATAGAAATTCCAGAAACAAAAAAATATAGTTACTAAAGTTAAAATATATAATAGATGGAATAAATAGCATTTTAGATATAGCTTAAGAATTAGTAAACTAGAATATACACTTGATAAAATTCCAGAATGTACTAAAATAAATTTTAAAATGAATTTTAAAAGAAAAATTAGGAAACATAGAAGGATACGCCTAACATATTTGTAGCAATCCAAAATGAGATAACAGAAAGGAAGGAAGGGAAAATACTAATGAGATAAAGGCTGAGAATTTTCCCAGAATGGATGAAATATAGGAATTCCCAGACTGAGAAAGCACAATGAGTCTTGGTTCAGATAAATATAATAAAATTCACAATTAGACAGGTCTTGGCGAAAGAACTGATCACCCATGATGACAAAAAGATAGTAAATTCAGCTAGAGAAGAAAGATTACCTACAGCAAGCATGGGGTTAGGAGAAGTGTGGAAGAAATATTTCTTTTATGTATTCTTTTTTTTTTTCATTAATCAGTATTTTTTATTATGGTTTTGTGGGGTACAGTTA